CAGTGTAACCAACAACAAATGAGATCAGATTAGTGACTAGACCAGTAAAGACCAAGAGCTAAAGATACTCACAGAGCAGATTATACAATGGTGGCCAGAAAATGATACCAGACACAACCTGTAATATGACAATATTGACCTATCAGAGATGATATCTCACTAGAGAATAGTGTTTTGCTATCAGGGTCACCCCTATTAAGATGCAAAACATCACAACCAGAAGTCCTTTAGAAAATCCACTAAGGTCACATGGGAATAGAACAAAGGAAACTAAGGACAAGAACTACAGTGTACTGGACAGTCATATACAAAGACTCTCAGAATGACACATATACCAAAAATATAAGAATTCACCACCAAAAGAAGACATGATATACCCTGAAAAACCAAGCAGACCATGGTACACATTAGGAACAAACTTACTTGTTATTAACCAAGAATGGCACCGAATTGTACTCTGTTACCATTCCAAGTTTCTATTTGTCTGGAAACTTGAAAGTCCAAACCATCTGTTAAGCAATCCAAGCAATATTTTTAGAACAGGGAATACCTGAAAAACTTATATATGACAAAAGTACCCAATTCATGTCATATGAATTCATTGAGATAGCCCAAACCTATCAATTCACAATCACAACATCATCCTCACTTTATACCAAGAGGCCATGGACTCATTGAGAGCTATATAGAAACAATGAAGAAAATTGTGTTTCATTGGGCAACCAAAATCAAAGAAGACATGAAGTACCCAGCAGAGCTACTAAATGCAAGGAAATATAAAACAACTTTGCCAAGCAAAATCAATCTGTCATCTGATCAAGAGAGAACCAGAAACAAATTATCTGATACTCAGAGAGAAGAGAAATTATATTAGAATAGCTATACACATATACCCTACTAGAGCTATTTAGAGGACAGCATGTACACATCCAGGGGGTTAAAAATTAAAACCTGGAGCTTAGCAAAAATTATCAACATGCTGAAACCTGTGTCATTATGATGGAATCTGGTAAACATCTGAGGTGAAACAGAATCCACATTTGTCCAACTCTAAAACAAAGAACCATACACACATTCACATCTGTGAATGAGCCAACAATAACAAACAAAGTAGCTATGCCCAAAGAGACCACAAGATCCAGTCAGCCAACAATAAATGATAACTAACTGCCAGAGTGTATGCAGCAAACATTATCACAAGTTGTATCTCCAAAAACATCCCTAGTGAAATTGACAACATGGAGAAGTTACATCTTACCACCTAAGAGATTTTGATTTAAAAAAGAGCAGTCTTTCTTTCAGAGAAAGAGGGATGATATATTGTTAAATTACATAAACACCCATACTAACTACAACAACACTAAGTAAGCCCCTACTAGAGCTACAAGGGCATACTTGGGGACTGGAAACAATACAGCATATAGAATAACTATATAGTTTGTAAATAGCATGTGTAAATAAAGTTAAGACCAAAGACATAATGAAAAAGGAAAATTAAGTATCTGTTATTATTAACAAACATATAAACCAAAGCATAACATAGGGGAATGTATGTAGCCAATGTACAATTTGTGGGTGAGAAACAATTCTGCACAAAGTAATCTTTTATAGCTCTGAGATGTTGATGTATCCAGGAATTATACTCACATGATTTTCGGTCACATTCTTATCATACTCAATTCCCCTATCACAACAGGGATGATTGTAGGTGTAAGTTTTCACATTATTATTATTATTATTATTATTGTAAAAAAACAGAAGAAAAAGCAATTCTTTGTGAAATTTTGAGGGAAGAATAACATTTGATTGAACAGGAAATAAGTTACTTATCTTTTAGGTGACTAACAAAAATAAACAACAAACTGATTTGAATAGATACTTAAATATAGATATTTATGAATAAATAAGGATCATTCACTTGTGTTAAATATATAAACATAGCAAATATAAAGTATTTAAATTTTATAATAAAAATATTTAAGTTACATTTAATATATGCAGCTTATGCTAATTAATATGATAAATAAACAAATGATCATGATAAACAGATAAAATATATAATTCCATATAAAATATACAACTATAATATCTAGACAAATAAATAAATAATATAAACAATAACTGAATAGATAATCTCTGCTGTGTGATATGCATCTAACTTTATCCATGGTTTTATCTGTTATCTCTAAACTGGATACCCACAAAGGAGACAGACTTGATGGTATCCTTGCAATAATCCTAAAGAAATGTACTCCTGAAATGACTCTACAATTAGCAGCTGGTCCCAAAAATGACCTCCAATCAGTTATTAACTGGGGCAAGAAATGGCTTGTTAATTTTAACACCTCCAAAATGAAACTGCTATCATCTGTTAGTCATCATAGGGAGCTATTTTTGCTTTCCATCAACATGGCTGATGGTAATCCCCAGGAGATCAACTCCTTACACTTTTTTGGTCTCACATTTTCCACTGACATGAAATGGAATTATTATATTGAATCAATTGCTAAGTCTGCTGCTAGGAAAGTTGGTTCACTGTGTTGTGCCAGACAATTCTTCTCACCAGAATCCTTCTTGTAAATTTATAACTCTACCATTCATCCTTCATTAAATATGCTGTCATATTGATGCCCCTGCAATATATCTCAAGGTCCTCAACAAAATCCAAAGAAAGGTCTATAATGTTATTGGCCCTGACCTGGCATCTCAACTTCAGTCACTTCCCCACTGCCATGATGTGACTTCCCCCTGTCTTTTCTATAAATATTTTCATGACAATTGTTCTAATGAGCTTTTATCCCTGATACCTCAAATGAATAAATTTAAGTGTAGTACTAAATTGGAAACCAGGTCTTACCATTTTACAGTTAAAATAGGTAGATGTAACTGTAAGTTTTATTCTAATAGTTTCTCTCATATTTCACACCTGTGGAACTCTCTTCCACTTTCTTGCTCCCCTGCCACCTCTGATCTTCAAAAGTTTAAATTCAATGTCACTCACCATCTTCTGTCTTTCTGCATCCATTTTTTTATTGTCCTTTCTCCTCACTAAGGTTTTCTCATTTTCTTTCACTCTTGGTAACCTCCTGCATCTTAGTGGTATTATCACTTTGCTTGGAGTGAAATGATTAAAACAATAAAAATATAAATGCCATGCTACTTCTTGCTTTCCTAATTGTTGAAAATTCTCTTCTGTAGTTCTTGTTTTAAGAACTCAAGCAGCAAACCATCTGATCATTCTATCTACCTATAAGTCATATATCTGTTTTTGGTAAAGTCCTAGAGTTGCTAATCAACTCTGAATTGGTTAAGCATCTCACCTGACAGGGTCTTTCAGTCAAACAATATGGCTTTTGCTTCTTTAGGGCAACTGCTGATGTGTTAACAGTTATTGCTGAAAGAGTCTATCAAAAATGTTACTTTTTTTCAATTAATAATGTTGCTTTAGATATCTCAAAATTGTTTGGCATGCTGGTCATAACAAATTGAAAAGTTATGTTATTTCTGGATTAACTTTTGATTCCTTATGAAATAAATCTTATCTTGAATAGTCATCTTTTTATATCTTTTTACATTAATGCAGTTATCTTCCAGGGCTCTATCCTTAGACCTACTTTGTTCCTAATTTTCATCAAGGACCTTCATGATGTCATCATTTTTTGACTCAGCATCTATGCTGATGCTACAACTATTTACTCCTGTCTTAATTGTAAGTCTGATAGGTATTATATGCTCAAATTGGCATCTGATCTCAAAAATGATCTACTGTCAACTGTGTCAAGAAATAGCTTGTTAATTTTAATGTCACCAAAATAAAAGAACTCTCTTTTAATCGTTTTAGAGAAACAGTTTTTTAAATTATTCATGATGCACATGTATCAATCAGCACATTAAAAATAAGTTAATTTATTTTTATTGAAACTAGATTGGACATCTGGTTCAATGAGACATAAAAGAAGTTATCAATAGTAGTGAGAGGCATCATTTTTCTCTTTAAAAACTTAGCATACTTTGTGATGCAAAAGAAGACTATATCAAGCAGTAGTAGAAATTTTTTTCTTTTTATAATTCAATTGATTGAATATTATCATTAAATTCTAAGCTTGATCAACTATTCTCCTCTGACACAGCTACTTTAAATTATGAAAGGTTTGTTTGTTTTTTTTTTACTTTTTTTAGTAAGTCTAAAAAATAAAACAAAGCAAATTGTGATTTTTTTTAAATAATAATTGCAGTATCATCTATAAACAAATTCTAACAACAAAATGCAAAATGTATTTTAAGTTAAAATACTTTTTGCATATTTTTAAGTTAAAATTTTTAATTTAAATCAAACAAAATAAATCCAGTAATAATATTCTTAGTAAACAAATACTGGTAACGTAATTTATTTCTAAAAAGCTACTAAAAGATATTACTCTTTTTCAGAAAGTAAACTAAGTAAAGCAAGAATTTTTTTTTTTTTTCATTTGATTCAATTTTTACGAGAGTAGATATTTAGCTGATTTAATAAGAAGAACTTATCAGAAATTCTTGTTCTAGAATTTAGGCTTATCATACGTTTTGTATGTTTTGGGGAGTTTTTGTTACACTGGAGAGAAGCTAAATAGCAGTTGAGCATTCCATTCGTTTATTTCATTTTTTTTAATTTTGTGTTAGTGTGAACCCTGAAGCGTAAGGTAGGTTAGGTTATAAAAGTTCATTATTATACAAGAATCTAAACTTATAATCAAAAATGAAAACTCCGTTTTAGGGGGTGGGGGAATTTTAATAAGATATTTGATCGCTACAGTGAAACCAGTTATCTATGACTACTTAGAATTGATCAAATAAAACTTCAGAGTTACCGCCCTTGTTCCGAATAGCAACGGAAACGGAAATGAATATGGTAAGCCAAACGTATTTGCTTTGGGTACATAGTTATGTTTCTTTGAACTGTTCTTCAATACTCCCGATTAGACAAGTTACACAGCTGATGATGAAAATTCGATTATAGACGAATGGCGGCAGCATCTGTAGGAATTCCTATTTTAAGACAGTTTGATATCTACATGCCATTTGAATTTATTGAGAAATGTGTCCAGCTCAGTTGCGTTGGCCATGGAATTTGTTGGTCCGGATCTGTCCGCGATATGACAGCTGGACAGCTGTTTCAGAATCACAAAAATTCAAAAATGGAAAATTCAGGTATGATAACGTAACTAAGTAAAAAGGAAAAACAAGAATATATATTAATTTAATTTTTTTTTTTCGTGTAAGTGTGTGTATTTAAAACATTGCTTTTATTTTATATTTTATTAAAAAAGGTTATAATTACCGACTTTGTTAGGAGCTCAGAATGAGAAGATTATTCCAATTTACAAATTTAAGCAATTTAAATTGCAAAGACTTGTGTTTTTTTATAGCAAAAATCGAAAAATAGTTTTCTTTTAAAACGTCGCCGATTCTAAAATGTCAAACTTTTTTATGCGTTTCGTTACGTACGACAAGTGCTTTAAAAATCACTTGCAAAGCAAATCATGCGAGGTAGATTTTTTTTGTACTTTCATAATTAATTGGTTGATTTGAAATTAGTTGGATTTTTTTTTTAGGTTTGTTACTGCCTTGTTTTTCGTATGACTAATCTCGGTGTTCATTGCCAAATGAAATAATACACACGAATTTAAAAAATTTACCAAAATAAGTACAATAACCTTTCTTAAACTAATAGCATTATATAAAAAAAATCACTAAAAAGTGAAAAATATAAATTTGTTTCTTAGATTTATTTAAAATTATTTATTTTAGACTTGCAGTGTAAAAATTAAAAAATTAGTGTCTTTTTTTGTTTTGTTTTTTATATATTTCTAAAATCGATTAAAATCCTTTGGGTACACAATGAAATATCGTTTTTAATCTTGTATTGAAAATTCTTGATTAAATTGTTATTTATCATAAATATTAAATAACAATTAAAAATTTTCAAAAATGGATGTTTATACTACTGATTGCATAAATAATTTATGCAATCAGTAATATAAAAATCCATTTTCTTACCAAATAGATTTACTTTTGTCACTTCTGAACTTGGGCGATCATACATTTTTCATGGCCCTCATTTCTTTAATTTACGTGTGATTGTCAACTCATTAGAAAAGATAGTGGAATAGTTTCCCGTTTCAAATTTAGAATCTTTTACTCACTTATACTTTTAGCAAATATTTAATTTTTGAAAATAAATTATTTTTAATAAAATTATAATTTTTTAAAATTGAAAGGGTGCAGAAATATTTTAAAACAAATGATCTCAGTTTTTTCTCTTGAAACTAAAAACACTAAATTTTGAACTAATATTTCCCCTCCTTAATGAGTTCTTTCAAGCCATATGTGCTTTACTATTGAGCTACATAAAGCCATCTCAGCAAAGCAAAATTCAATTATTCTATTTAACAAATGCGCATCTCTCATTGGGACCTTTTGAAATCTATATCTGCTAAATTTATTTTTGTACCTGAAATATAAAGTAATTTTTTTTTAATCTGATATTATTTCTTATGTAAATGCTATATTTTGTGAATTCACGTTTGAGTAGACATTCTTGTTTTTAAAAAGGAAATTTGTTTATCAGCCTAGAGATCTGTTTAAAAACAGGAATGTTGACTCAACACATATAGCATTTGTATTAATAATGTCTAAAAATTACTTTCTGCTGAAAGTTTTTTTTCTTACACACATACTCAAAAATCTTACTAAATTATATTAATAACTAAATATAAATTATCTTCACAGTTTACCATTTGAGAGTTGTAAGGCAATTGATTTGTATTAATTGCATTTTAATACAGGTCTGTTTCAGTTAGAATGCTACAAAACTATTGATTCAAATTACTGACACAAGAGAAAAAACTTCTGATACTTTTATTTTATTATTTATTCATTAGATGAGTTGTTAATTTTTAATCCTTTAGCATATCTATATTAATAAGATATTGATGTTCAATGATCTTCTTAATATTTTCAGGCTTTGAACAATGGAGGTTGGACAACTCTTCAGAGAATGTACAGCTAGCTCATGTACAGACATGCATAAATCCTGAAAATATGTTGCTAATATCTTTCTCAAAAGTTCAGTTGCAAGTGCTTGAAGGCCGCTGTGGCTTCTGGTTGTCCAATGTGCAGAAGGATGAGTCATCATGTGCAATGTCAGTTTACCCCATCAATGAATGTTCAGGTGAAGTGGAGTCTACAATTCTTGATGGTCTAAATTCATCAAAACTAACTAATACATCTACTGTAACTACCAGGGTAGATTATGTTGAAAATGAAAATAACATTAAGATATCTGATGATCTTGCAAAAAATGGCAAAAATATAGATTCTTATTCAGTCGACTCAATTGGGGGTTGGAATTCTATGCCTGTGGATTCTGCCAGTTCAAAAGAAAAGAATGCAGTGCAATCTGTAACAGGGAAACCTCCCTGCCTACCAGAGATAAGCTCAAATCAACTTACTTCTATAAATTTATCCATTCCCTCTGATTCTATGGAATCTCCCTTAAAGAAAAATTCAAATGAGAATCTAATTGAGAACACACAAGTAAAGCATTTTTGTTCTGAAACTAATACTGTACAGAAACTGCAAGAACTTGTTTTATATGAGGAAACAGATTGCAACAATTTGTCAGAAGAGAAGACTAGAAATAACAAACCTCTTCAGTCTCTGACTGTTAGCCTTACTAAGAAAAGGGAGAATAAAGTCATTAAAAAAAAGACTTATAGTCGTAAAGCTAAAAAGCAATCTGCCCAACAGGATAAAAACTTCTGTCCTCAAGTGACAATGGAGATGACTGATGTTAATGATAATTCTGTTATTCCAAAGAAAAAGTACATGCTCCGTGGAGTAAAAATCCCTAAATGTTTGATTGAGCAAGAAAAAAATGGAAGAAAACTTGTCTCTAAAAATAATTGTAAGAATCAAAACCTTGAAAGTGCCGATATTTCTTGTCAAGACATTGAAAATTGCTCATCTGACAAAAGAATTAACTTAACCAATGATCAACCTACATTAACGTCTACTTCTGAAACCCCAGTTTCTCCATCCCTGTTGTTGCAGTCTAGCTCAAGGCAACAGCAAGTAGATTTGGACAATATTAATAATAGCAGATCAAAACGTCGAAAACGTAACAACACTAGAGTTGTACAGTGTCGCTACTGTAAAAAAATGTTTTGTGACTACACTGGGGTAGACGAACATGTAAAAAAGTTCCATACTAATGAAGCTGACTTTGTTGACTATATTGCTGAATTGAAAAAACTAAAAGTGGCCACATGCAACATTTGTAATGTCACATTACAAAACCGCTATTTATTACAGGAGCATGAGGATCGTGTCCACTCTACAGCTGATTCTGAGGTCTGCAATGTCTGTGGCAAGAAATACAAAAATCTCAAGAGTTTGCGCAATCATGTCAGATTTGTACATTATGCAAATGGTAAGGCTCACTTGTGCCATCTTTGTCCAGCCAAGTTTAAGTGGGCTGGAACCCTTAAACAACACATCCAAGAGGTTCATGAAGGAATCCGGGAGTTCTCATGTCCAACATGTGGTAAAGAGTTCTTCCGTAAATCCCAACTCAACCGTCACATACGAATCCATGGGTCAGATGCATCAAAGCGTATCACATGTGCTTTGTGTAATAAAGGATTTTGGTTTGAAAACAACTATGTCCGCCACATGAAGGCAGTCCATCAGCCACAGTTGGAAGAATTTCACTGTTCATATTGTGGCAAGGGCTTCACTCAGAAGGCAAGTATGGTGGCTCATGTGCAACTTGTGCATCTAAAAATTTACACATATTCTTGTAAAATCTGCAAGATGGGTTTCACACGGTCTAAATTGCTTCAGGTACATATGGCCCAGGTACATAATGAGACCGACTTTGTAGTAAAGAATGGACGACACGGCCGTTTTAAATACAGCCGAACAGCTGCAGACCTTCTTTATTGTCATTATTGCAATCAAGGCTTCTACTACAAAGCACAGGTTGTGCAACACATCCACCAAGAACACACATTTCCCTATCGATGTGACAAATGTAAACAAGGTTTTGTTCTAAAAAAGTTCCTTGATAACCATCTGAGAAAAGCACATGGTATTGAAGTAGAAGTTCCCCCTGATAATGAGGAGGAGGAGGAGGAGAAGAACACTAATGCTGAAGAAGCACTGGAAAATTCAACTGAGTTAAAATCTGATTCTACAATTTTACCGAAATGTAGCATAGCAACTTTTAAAAATTCTGAAGAAATTCGCAGTGAAACTATACTCTCACCCCTTAACACTGAGTGTTCTGAAAATCTGTTAGGTGTACCCGATACAGATAGTTATGGAGTGTCAACTGCTGCGACATCCCTTTTGCTTGAAGTTGCTAAGGATGGAAGCACAGTTCACTACTTCATTCAACATGACAATACAAATGATAAAGGAAACCAAATGGATAATAACCAACAAGTCATTGAGGATATAGCTAGTTTACTGCTTGTGGCTGAAGAAGCTTCAAGCAAAGAGTCTTTGCCTATGACCAGTGAACAAGCACAAGCAGTCAATGAAATGCAATCAAAAAATGCTGTTGTTCATTTTATTCCTGCTAATGTTGAAGATGTGAATAGTTCAACTGTTGAAGTTGACACGTGATCCTCAGTTGATTTTAAATTGATTTATTAACAGATCTCTTTGTTTTATTCTGCATTGTAGATCTTAGAAAGAAAACAGATCAAATAAAAAGCATTCAGAATTGTTTTATCATTTCAATAAATTGTATATTAGCGTAATCTTATTTTTTAAAATTGATGTTTGTTTTTTTGGGGGGTGGGGCCTGTCATTTGGATTTAAGGTCAGTTATTTATTTCAGATTATAACTGATAATGAAAAATAAATATGTCAAAAACATTTTGATAAAATGTATGCTGCCCCAGTTTGAATGGGACAGCATACCTTATTTCAAAATGGAGAAAAATAAGGTGGAAACAGGAAGTATATACACAATAATAATATTTTCTTGAAAATAAACAGAAATCTACTAATTATTAAAAATCTGTAAATTTTTCAAAGGTAGGAAGATAAGGCATTAATGTTTTCCTTATATATTGTACATGGTTACTTAAGAATTTCCTCCTTTTTTCTTTAAGAATAACAAATTAAGCTATGATTTTCTCACAATTTTTCATATAAAAAAATCCAATTATTAAAAGTGAAACAGAGTATTCATTTTTTTTTTTTAATTCTTTGTTTTATTTAGATTATTTACAGTTAGACTAATGACCTCATCTTAATTGTTACACAACATTTGACTTGTGTTTTCTGGCCTTCTTTAGGCACCTGCCAATCCAGGAAACCTTCAGAACTCATTTAATCTACAGGATTCTTCTTCTGCTGTCCATATATTGGGATATTGCTTGTTTTCTTTTTGTTTTTTACTACAGTTATTGTTCATCCTGGTTCTATTGAGGCTGAGACTACCAAGTCCAGGGGTTGAGCTCTCAATTCTATGCCACAAAATCCACAAACCAACTTTAATTCCACCTGAGACAATCCTGAAGCTAAAATTTTGAGCCTTAAGCCTAATATTCTTGTTTACTCCCTCTCCCACCACTTCTCTTTCTTACTGCAGCTGTTGCTGAAGCTTTACTATGAAGCTGGATTTCCTCTGTCACCATATCTCTTTCTTTCTTAATGACTCCCATAATTTTCTAAGCATAACTTAGATGCGACACACTGAGGAGGCTGTCATAGTTGAGCATATTTTCTGATTCCTTCAGAAATCTGATTTACGTGTGTTCCTGTCTAGCATTTTTTTCTATTTCATTCCATTAGGTTTGGTGACCACTATTTTCCCTCTGTACATGATTATGCATGCCTGGTTTCATTGTCTCACTCCTCATGTTTTCTGATGTTCCTCCTGCTTTGCCTTTAAATGTCATCTAGTTTCACCTTTATCTTTGCCACAACTGCAAAGGATGGAATACATGCAGTTCTTAGTGGAGCTACTTCTGAATATTGTACTGATGATCAGTATAAGAGAGAGGGGCTGTGGTAGTTTTCCAATCTTAATCCATAACCTTTCTGTCTCTATCTGCAGAAGCTGATGTTTTGCTTGCTGCATAGTTGTTATTCTGAAGTGTACATTTGATGATGGTCATCTCATTTTGATATGTACTTGGGTTGCCATTTACAATTTATGCACAATGTGTTGTAGGCATCGGATGATCCCTTTATACTGTATGGATGGTGAGAAAAAGTTAAGGTATTGTCTGGTGAAGGTTGGATTGTATTATACAGATGTCTTGAATCCATTCTCCATGTGAGTATAGTTGATTTTTGGTTTCCTATTTCATTGTGAACTGGATCAAAGGTCTTACCGAGTTCATATGGTCTTGTAGTAATTCCACATCTTCCTGGTGAGACCGGAGTATGAAGCTGTGATCTACATATCAGCCATAATGTTTGCTTTATTGGTGCCATTTCCTCAAAGTATTCCATGTACAAGGTGCATTCCAGATGTTTTGAGATATTTTCAGAAGAGACATTTATTTATTTCAAAGAAATGCAAAACTAATCTCCTTCAAAGTAGCATCCTCTGACTTCAATGCCCTTGTTGTAGTGCTCAAGTCACTTTGTGGAGGCCCCATGAAAGTCATCTAAAGTGAAGCCTCTTTCATCTCTTCATTGTCTCCAAAATGACTACTCCTGAGGTTCTTCATCTTGAGGAACAACTAAAAGTCACAGGTTGCAAGGTCTGCACAAGTAGGATGAGGGATAGATTTGAACCCGTCTTTGTCAACACAAAACTTTATTGTATAGTGAGGTTCCAAACTGTTTTCATGTCTCGTCTGCATTCTGCAAATTAGTCAGCTGTGACAAGCAGTGTTTAGTAGGTTGTGTTCAAAGAGCTGTTACAGCCATCTCCTTCAATCTGCAATAACAAAAGTTGACAGGTCAGCTTATTAGATGTGTAGTAATGATATAATCAAATTACAATAATCTAGGACAGTTATAACTGCCTCTCCCCAAAAACGTCTTAAAACTTCTGGAATGCACTCATACATGTTCACCATCCCAGGTGATAATAACAAACTTAAAACCAAGCCTTGCTCCTACTTGTATATGTTAGACCATAACTGGAAGAATGTTATCTGTTCACAGAATGTCAATATGTCCATCAAGTTATCTATCAGGATGCTAGTATCTTCCCTAAGGGTGGGGTCCAATTCCAGTCTTTCAAACCACCAATAGAACCTTATCTGTAAGAATCCTGGTGAACAGGCTCATTACATCCAAATTTACCATCCAATGGGTATAAATGGGAGCACCTTGAATTGTTTCCATAAAGTAGTTTGAGATTTTAATGACGAGAATTTTCCTGCTAGTGTGTTGACTATATCTACCAGGAATTTTATCAGCAGGTGGTTAAAAACTGACTATGGATCTTAACAAAATACCAGCTTTATGAATTGTAGAGAAATTGTACAGTTGTGGCAGCTTAGAGTAACATTGAATTAGCTGTCTATACTTATTAAGTAGTTTTTGTTCTTATTTAGGAACAGCTTCCCTTATCAGTTTTTAGCATCAGTTCCTTTTATCAATTTGCTGTAGTTACCATCCCCAATTAGGCTTACCATTTTCTTAAAGTATTCCAACTTGTCCGTCACCACTATGTTGTCTTTGCCTGCTGGCATTATGATGATACTAGTGCCACTATGTAGGGTTTTGATGGCCAACTTTTCTTCTCTTATGATGTTGATTTGGGTGTCTTGGTCCTTTCTTGTACTTGTTCATGTTCCATCTTGAACGTTGTTGCTCTCCTACTCTGAACTTTTTGCTCTAATTTTCTTATTTGGCAAATCTTGACACTTTCAAATTCCTGCTCATGGTTTATCCAGGTTTGTTGAATTCTATTTTTATTTGCATCAAGTGTTATACTAGTAAAGAATGTCCTTATTTGTTCAGAGATCATATTGAAGCTGATATTTCTTCTAAAAGTTATGAAGAATCCTTTTCCCTCTCAAGAGTATTGCTCTGATCTTTGCACTACCCTTTACTGGAATTGACTAATATCTTGATTGATAAGCCTAATGGAACTAGTATTAGGACCTTATAATTAGGAATGTCATGTGGCTTGATATCTGGTCTATACTGATATTTTTCCATGAGACAATGGCATCGAAGATTAGCACATTGGTTCATGGATTTGGTAGAATAGTAATTGTGTGTTCAATCCCTAGACTGAGTAGTACAGACTCAGACTCGGTGGAAACTGGGTTAAAAACAATTGAGCTGTACAGAAAAACAAACAGGACTAATTATTTCTAGACATGAACAGAAAATTAAATAAAGTATTCAGTTTGAAATTCCCTGAAGGTTACCTGAAGACCAGAGGACATCATGGCTAAAATATTGTGATAGTAACAACAAACATAACATTTTAAAGATTAACAATATTTAACATGAGTATCTCCATTATAATGTTTAAATTATTTTTTCTGTAATCTATCAATTTATATCTCTTTGCACTTTTTTGTTTTGTTAATTTTTCTGGCTTCATTTTTGAAAAGTACGAGACTTTTAATTTCTGTCAAAAAATATATATATTCATGTTAAACATTTTAAAAGAATAATATGAAGCTAGAGCTGAAAACTCAGCTACAATTTTATTTCACATTTTCAAGACCTCTTTTTTTCTTTTCTTAAGAGAAAGATAAATATCAAATTTGTCATGTGAATATACATTCAAATATGTGGAATTGAGCAAGCAAAAAAAAAATAAATAAATAGAAAAGATGTTTTTTCCATATAGAATTGAGAGCTCAACCCCTGGACTTGGTAGTCTCAGCCTCAATGGAACTTTATTACTTTATTAAATTTATATTTTCTTCTAGACAAACTCATTCTTTTTCAAAATAAGAGTAAAATATTAGATGCAAATTGTTGTGAAAATATTTCTATTGTATTCAGAATTGTTAATAAAAACATATCTGCCATATTTAATTATTAATATTTTGCATCAAAGGACCATGAAGATGTCCATAAAAAAATCAGTGATGTTTACTAGTATGATGCATTTAAATTCCATGTTTAACCAAAATTTTATTTCACAGACAAAAAGCTTTGTAAAATAAATGAAACCGGCATTGTCATATCAGTAAAAGTGATGTGATGCGATATGGAGTTCAATTCTCCAGAACAAGTTAAACTTATGTTATTGGAAATCTATGAATGTAAAAAAAAAAAAACAAATGGATTTTCTTTGTTCATGCAGACACTGTCAGATAATACAAACAATAACTTAATTGCTCAAATGCCCACTCTCTGTTACCTGCAAAATTTCCTCACAACTTTGGGTTTTAACACCTGTTACATGTTTATGTTAGCATCCTACCCATATTCTATTTTTCACAGACCTCTAGTTAATACACTTTTGATAATTTAAATATTAAAATAGCTTTTTCATCTGAATCCAGAAATTTACGAAAACATCACAGGTTTTTTTTTAATTAGTGGAATGCTTAAAAACAGACCTAAGTTTTTATAAAAATGTTTCTAAGTTATTTTTTAAAGTATTTTTCTGCAATGTTGTAAACTTAAATTTTTGTTCTTCATTTCAGGAGAGTGTTGTTTTTTTATTAATAAAAAGTTGA